AGCAGCATCGAGAACCCACTGCACCCATACGACAGCGGCCACTGCACGAAGTGTGCAGCCGGCCGAAGCAGAAGGCGCGCAGGCTTGTGTTACCAGCCAGTAGCGCGGACACGGCGACGATCGCCACGGAGAAAGGGAGTGCTTCGCCAAAGAGGAGCGAGAGAGCGCGGACGTCCGCAGAAGCGGCGGACCACGTTACACCTTCGACGGACGAGAGACCGTCTTCGGGCCAAGGGCCTCCGGAATTACCACGTGCGATGCGGACGAGTGTTCCGCCTATGCACAGGCGAGCTTCAGCGGAAAGGCGACCTCAAGCGGACGTGGACCTCCGCCTACGCGTAGGCAGAGAAAGTTCGCCTACGCACAGGCGGCCGCCTACGCACAGGCAGGATTCACCTCCGATACAACGTAGGAAGGGGAAGGAGCCGGCGAAAGATCCGCCTTCGGGTCAAGGGCCTTTGGGACCAGATCCTCCGGCGTACAACGCGCCGCGATTTGCGCCTTCGGCGCCAGGGCCTTCGGGTCAACAAGTTTTGAGTAGGGAGCGTGCGGAAACTGCACCTTCGGCGAATAATCCGCCGGCAGATGCGCCTTCGGCGATAGACGCCTTCGGCGCTGCGCCTGCGGCGGACAAGGCGCCGGTATTTGCGCCTACGCACAGGCCAGACGCAGCCCTCCCGCAGGACCGATCGAGGGAGCAGGACCTAACGGAGGAGCGGATTGTCTGTCCGCGGGACGAAATTCGGGTGCGCGATGCGCAATTACACCCCGCGTAGATACATTCCGCTCGATTGCCTTCGGCGGCGGACGTCGGCGGCGGAGAGGACACAGTCGATGATCGACATGCGGATGATGGGGATGTAGCACGGCCACATTCACCCACCGCCTTGGACATTTTAGCGGGGAGCAGCGAAGCTGTAGGAGTGCCTTTGGCGGCAGCACCTGTAGACAACTCGCAACCCCACTCGGGTCAGTCGCCAACGCAATCAATGGCGACCGAAATCCTTCCCTTGGATGATGACGAAGGAGGCTCCACAGAAGCAATGTCGGGATCGGGAGATACCGAGGAGGAGGAGGAGGAGGAAATTGTTGGAGCGCCGGCGGCGGCGCTCTCTGAGCAGGTACTACCTCTGCTGAAGTACTTGGATCGCAAATTTGATAAATACGCCGATCCACTCCAGCCGGGGTCCTACATCGAATTAGTGCGCAGGCAGACTCGCACTAAAGTCCACACCAGCAACCTACTAGCTAGAGTGGACCGGGAGCTGAAGGAATTGCGGGAGAAGCATGACTGTTTGTGGGGACAGTATAATCTCGTGCGGAAGACGCACACCCACTACGACACATTGAAGAAGGCGAGACTGGAAGAGCTCACCAGGGATGTGGTGAAGACCACGGAGGAATTGATTTCTAAGAAGACTTAGAATCAGATTCTGTCAGAGGAGCTCGTGCGACAGACGCGGTTGTTGGCGGAATGTCAGCTCGCACGACAGGCGGATGAGGAGTTGATCCGCAGGTTGCAGTCGGAGTGCGGGGAATTGAGAGCTCAGCGTGCGGAGGCCGAATCGCAGTTAGTAGTAATTGAAGATGATCGCAGGCGAGAGGCAGATCGCACGAAGGAGGAGATGGCGAGGCGAGTCGCCCACTGTCTCAAGGGCTACGCCCACTAGGAAGTGGCGGCGCAGGAGAAACTCACACTGCGTGAGTTGGAGCTTCGTGCAGCCGGGTTGTTGTCAGGTGACAGTAGGAGTCGGCGGAAGGTGGCGAAGAAGTTAGACTCTTTCCTGTCGAAGGCGCGGGATACCATGTCCACCCTCGAGGCGGAGGTGTCCGCGGCGTTGCAGCGTTTGGGACTGCGCAGTCGAGCGGAAGACTGGCAGGGTAGGGGGTTAGTGCGCGGCAGTCCGTCGCGTAGGAGGCGAAGCACAGGTTCCGCGGAGTGTAGTGTAGCGTGGTTCCGTGCAGGCGCGTAGCATAGTGCAGTGTAGTGCTAGTTAGGACTTAGAAAATATAAAGTAGTTCAAGGCGTCTTGCCTTGGGATCTTTCCCAACATCAGAAGTGCAGATCAGGAACTCATTTTCTCTGCGTGTTTGTGTCCTTAGTTCTGTCACCACGCAAGAGGAGCTACACCTTAGCGATCCGCATCGTGTAGCTGAAGGCCTTCGGCCGAATGTTCAGAGCTAGTACATTGGTTAGAGACTTGAGTAGTTCGGATCTACACCTGCGGATGATTGCCGATGCTCAGAGCCAGTGACGAGTTAGATACTTGAATAGTTTCGCCCCTACACCTTCGAGTGTCTGTTCCTGATTATACTCCTTCGGGATTTTTCCCCTGAATGCCAAAGTGAAGTTTTGCTACTTCGTGTAAGCCTTGGTTGTAAATTCAGGTTACGCTGCAGTAGGTGCCTTCAGGGTAACCCCTGTAGTATTTCTGGGAATGACAAGTGCCTGAGAATTCAAACTCTTCAATAGACTGTTATGGTGTGTTACTGGAATGTTTCTCTGTGAGTCCTTCAGTGCGGACCTGTGTTCTTTGCGCGTTTTGTGAGTTGAGAGTGTTGTTCACCGCGTATGAGTGACTTCGATCCGAAGTAGGCAGTCCAAACCGGGTTTCCTACACTAGCAGCAAGCTAGTGGAAGTGTTGTAAAAGCCGGAGTTGGGAGTCACTACCCGCAGCTTCGCTGAGTGTACTCTTGAGAGACCTTCCCCCTGAAATCTTGAGTAGAGGTCCTAACGGATCTCTGGGTTGTGTTTCTGTAGTTTCAGGTGTGTGTGTGTGTTACGCTGCACTGTGCAACCTCCGAGTGCGCTCTGAGTGGACTCTTGCAGTATTTCTGGGAGTGACAGTCGCCTGAAAATTCAAACTCCTCAATAGTCTGTTAAACGTGACACTTTGTACCCTGTGTGTTCCTCTGTCCCTGTGGGTTCGACCTTTCTACCACTATATTGCAGTTTTAGCCTTTAGTGGGTTATTACACGTATTCCATTTTCTTTTTCTAACTAACTCTCCATTAGATTAATTTTCCATTAAATCTCCTAACTCCTATGCCTAAGGACTTATATGTATACATTCTACCACAAATATGTTTAAGTTTTTGTTGTTTATGATAAAATTGGAAAAAACTAAGCACCACAAGTTTGCCAACTGCTTTTTGCTCCTAATTCCAAGTTTGAAATTTGTTTTGTTGTGGTACAACTCCCCTAGTTTATGTCAACACCTTAAGAGTTTCATATGGAAATTGGCTTCCAAACTTTGCACTATCTCAAGGTTTTTTGACCACAAAATCTTATTCAAACTAGGATAATCACTACAATTGCAAGGAGACATAGATGTGACGTTCTTGCAAGAACACATTCAATTCTACCATCGCTTATGCTTTTAAACTCATTGGAGGAGCAATATTGTGGTGTTTCAAGGAGCAAAATCTCATTTCACTCTCTTCTATAGAAAGTGAACATAAGACCTTGTCCTTTGGTGCACAAGAGGATGTTTGGCTATGACAACTATTGCATAAAATCAACCCAGTCACCGTCACGATGACACCAACGCTTCTCTATTGTGAAGACATTAAGTTGACTTCTACTCTTCCTACTCCCAATTCACTAAGCGACTTCACACTAGTTCATTGTGACAATGAAAGTGCTATGAAACTTGCCAAAAATCCAATCTTTCATTCAAAAAGTAGGCACATAGGTATCCAACGTCATTTCATCAGGGAGTGGGTAGCTTTGAAGGAGATCAAAGTTCGATTTCTCTCTACAAAATTACAGCTAGCAAATATGTTCATCAAGGTTCTTCCTAGGCTAAAATTAAATTAGCAACTTAATCAGCTATTCAGTAGACTACTGTTATAGATTACATTATATGTACAAGCATACTTACTGATTAAAACAGTCTGACTTATTTCGAATAAGCGATACCAACACTTCCTTACCACTGCCACCTATGTAGCTTTCTCATCCAAGATCACAACTCCGCCATCCTCCCAACACTCGTTGGTCCGATCATTCCTTTAGCACGTCATCCACTGTTTGACAAACAGATCGGTTGATCTCCTGTTTTCAGGCTTAGTCTCATCGATCGCTTTACATTGACATAATCAAAATTTCTAAATATGATACTCAGGACCACATACCTATGCCATGTTTTCTCATATTAAATGTCTAAAATCTGACACTTCATTGGTTTAAGAAATATGAAGAAAAAGAAGCAATACTCATGCGTACTTAAGAAAACATCAGTCCGATTGTGGTTTAAAGAAAGAAAATAATTGATTTTGATGATGCATGAATTCATCATGATGTTGAATGATGTTAATGTGGAAACCTCATATCCCTGAGGAATGAAAAAAGACGGTAGGATTAAAACCGAAAGCTAGGAACAACCTAACTTGCAAAGGATAATTTGGAAATTGACTGTCATATCATAGATTTGAAGTTCTTGTTGAGGAAAATATTATGAGAACTCTGATAACAAGATGAAAGCAAATATTAATTCCACTATTTTCAAGTGTTCAAAATAGTGCAATTATTACTCAGAGACATAGATTACCGTAGTTTACAAGGAGTCTGAATATTCTGCGATTTATTCATCAACAGGAAATAGTTTGTCCTAGTTCTCTAGAAGAGAATTACATAGTTTGTTCTTGGAAAAAGTAGAAAAAAATGGTACCAACAAAGTAGAGTGTATGTGCTTATTGCGGAACTAAGTCTACTAACAAGCAATGGAGGCCAGAGAAACAGGTTACAGGGAAACCAGCAGGATGGTGAGGTTCGCAAGATGAGCACATGCCGATATCAAGGCGTTATTCCAAAGTACGGGAACTTATACCTCCGTTGAAACAAGGATAAACCTTCAATTTGCAACTTAATTTATGTAATTTTTTGGATGTTCTAGAGCTTATTTCACTATGATATGTTGGATCTTCAACCATGTGCACAGATATGCTTGGAACCACAGGGTTAAAGTGACCTAACGCACCTTGGGCTGATACGAGGTGACATAGTTTTTAACCACTAGGCCAGTAATCGTGCTACAAGGCAAGCCAGTCACAGGCCTTTTTGTGTGTGTTCAGCGTAACACTTAATTGAGTAGTTCACAAGTAGCTACATTAAGAGCAGCAGTTCTTACTAAGTTTGGGCTGGTTCGATGTGTTCCCTTTAAATGAACGTCATGCAAATCACACTCCACAAATCACGTGCAAGTCTGATTGCATGCAAATACATAAGTTAGGAGCCATGGCTACCTGCACAAGTTTTCGCGCTCCTCTTCTTGACCCCACTCGTTGCATGGATGATGTTTTACTCTTTAAAGTGACAGATTCAAAATTCCCAGACTACAAATCGCCATAAATCGTTAACACCTCACCACATTCTCATAAATCCTTGATACCTTACCACATTCTCAACTGGGTGATGGATGGAAATCTCACATCTCAAATGCACACTTAGATTATACCAGAGTAAAGATGTGTACAGAAATCTGAGAAGGTCTATATCCTGATCCCCAGATTCGTACGATTATTTAGCAAACTTTTAACCATCTTCATCTGTATACTAGATCAATAACCGCAAATCCAACCCCAGAAATACTAGAATAACATAACCATTTGGATCTGCCATATTCCGAGTAGGTTTCCTTCTTCAGATGGTGACTGACAGAAGGATTTCTCCTTCTCACCTCACTAGTGAGAACGTCCTCCTCTCACAGACTTGATGACAGCCGACGAGGTGGAGTTCACGGTTGGAGTTGGAGGTGAGCCGAGATCGATGACCTGGACTTTTCCGTTTGTCATGGTCGCCCAAATCGGGCTCCCTTCTGCAGTGTACATCACCACGTTGCCATCACACTGCATTATTATGTAGTGAGCCCCGTTGTTCATGTCCGCAGTCTTGGACTCAAACAAGGCGTTGTCATAGCCAGTGTAGAGTACTGCGTTTCCATTTTTCTTCAGTCTGAACTCGCAGTCGCGGCCTAGACCACCGGTATCGGTCGCCCAGAGTGGTTGCCCGTTCTTGTACAACACGAGGTTGCAGTCCTCTTGCATTTTGAACTGATATGGTCCCTGAGCAAGATATTGCTCAGAAAACATAGTTGAACCTTGCAGCAGCACGTTAGAAAAAGCTTCCACGGAGCTCGTGAGCATCAACGAGCAGGCACATAGCAGCGGAATGTACGCAGCGGCGGACATGAGAGCCATTTTATAGAGTACCCTGGTTCCTGCAGACAAATCACGTACTTCAGAATCGGATTTACTCCACCGAGCAGCCGCATGAGATCTGAAGTCAACCTTAACGAATGAGTACAAATCTATTATTGTGTCCTTTAGCTCGACCTTACTGTCACCACGTGGTTATCACAATAACTGTCGATTCGAGGAATTCACATGCTTACAACTCCACGTGACGAGGAACTCAGAGGAACACCTGTTGAGCTACTGCTCTAAGTGAGCTCGATGTCTCATCGTATTCACAGTGAGTGATTGGATCTGGTTTGGAGCTCACCTGAATCCTGTCGACGAAGCCAGTCAAAAGTAGCGCGCTCGTTTGTAAGTTTAGCACGCAAGAGACGCTTGAATCAGCTTCTTATATACTCGGAGAAGCGAGGCAATCTGTTGACGGGTGGATATGACATTTTATCTTGGACTGACCAGCCCCACTGCCATGATTCTTCCGATAAAAGAATTGAGGGACACGTCGGAGATTATCATCCCAGAGAGTTCGGCTTATCTTCTGTCCGATATGAGATGCCGACTGTCACCCTCTCCCTTTTGATATCCAATCGCTTGCAAACAACGCTAAGTTCAGATTAGATAAACATATATTCTTCATGCATTCCCGTACTCCACTTTAGACCATGCGCGGCATGGTACCTCGTATGATGAACGGAGCAAGCATCACAACTCGAGCAGAATGTGCTCGAAAATACTCACAAAAGCGGATTATTTTGGACATGTTGGCTACTGAGTCTGTAATGTGAATGTGGAAAAGTTCGTACCCGCCGAAAAGCTCCTCTGGACAGTCAGAAGTATGATTTGGCCGCATTCACAAATTCTTGTTAGCATCTACCAGATCCGGACGATGCGCACATTTGAAAATACTTTCCTGTACTCAGCAGCCCACATGTCCTAAATAAAGATCTTTTCTACATTCATGGTGCAAGGACACGCATTGCTCATTCTGACAATCTGAATGAAAGTGATTAATCAGCCTATGCGTACACTAACACCGGACAAAGCTCGTCTACAAGTTCATATCGAAAATCCCCGGGATGGAGCCGGTCAAAACTCGACCTCTGTGACTGAGATATTTCCGTACGTAAGAATGGCTTACATAAAACTGGATGTCTTTGAATGATTCTTTATCCTGTACGAGGTGTGGCCAATATCAGGTCCTCGACCAGATGTAATCACGGGGATTGGATGCCTAAGTTGGCTATCGGATCGTTTAATCATGAACATTAGGCTTGACCAAATACGGACTCAGAGCTTCTAGATTGACCATTTGTCCTGGTTTTGCAGCAGTCTAGAGCTCGTCAGGAAGAGATGAAAGCAACTAGAAGGCTGGCAGGCAACGGCAGGAAGGAAGGAAGGAAAGGAAAGGAAGGACGTATGGAAGGATGCGTCGATGGACTTCCTAGCTGTTGATGCGAATATTCCCACTAAGAAGGAGCTCAGTGAATATGGATGAGTTAGTCAGGAGCAGCAGTCAGCCAGCAGTAGTGTCGACGAGAGGAACGGGTCCATCTCTCTCTAAATCTATCTATCCATCTACCTGTCCCGTGGACGGCCTTCTAGCTACGGTAGTCCCTTCTTCTGGACAGTCAGAGTCTGAGTCCGGAGGCGGGGCTGAAGTCAGGAAGGGAGCGAGTTGGAAGGAGGGTCCCTGCAGCGGCAATGAATCATGGGGACGTAGTTTTGGTTGATATGCTGTTGGACTTGGCATGACGTAGACAAGAGGAGAGGAGACGCGAGGCGAGTAGGGGGGAGGAGATCGGAGAAAATTACTTGATGGGACCTGTGGAACACACATAGCCTATGTGTGTTCCACAGGTCCCAGTAACTTAAGTGAGATAGGTTACTGGGACCATCAAGTATCATTATACTCGATAGACCCTACCGACGCTGTTCGCCGTCACCCATGTTTAGTATAGCCAGACACAGTTGATTTCCAAATCGACCTTGTGTTGGTTTAGAGTCTTTGGCTTTGCTGCTGACAGAAGAGTAGCAGCAGCTATGGTTTGGCAATACAAGGGCCATGAGCGTTTCAAAGTCTCAATGTCGGGAAGAGAGTTGCAGGTGTGTCTCTGCTTCATCCGCCATTCAACGCGTGAACACCATGTCTAATTTTTGCCGAGTAACCTAATTCATCTACAAAGCGAATTCGGATATGTCGAGGAAGAATGTCGTGCTGAGGCGCACTTTGGGTCTGTGTACAACTTGCAATCTGAAAGTGTCAATCTGGATACTGTTATTGGATCCGTACTGGTCAACCGTATTCAGCCACCTGAAATCGCCTTGTGTGTGGGGACTAGGTGCACAATGAGTTTATCTGGAACGGGCCGCGTCGTTGTTGTAGGGGGACTCATCGTCGTCGAGCTTCTGTCGATAAGAATCTGCTATACTTACATTTGCAGACAAATCAAGAACCAAAAGAACGGCCACCCATCACATCGATGCTACCCTCGACTAAAGTAATACTTGATGATATGTGTGTTTCACAGTGTTCCTAGAGGGAGGGGAAAAGGAAGGAGGACAGAAAGAAAGATTATGCGGGATTTGGAGGTTTGGAGCTTTTGGGTGCTTTTGAATAGTAATGTCTGAGAGGTTAAGGTTAATGAGTTCCGCATTTGATCTTCAATCATTTCAACCGAGTGATGTCATTCTCTTCCTCACTAGATTATACTTTTTCACCAAAACAAGGCTAATCTAGTATTTTCTTTTGGTATCCAGATGCTTGGTTATTTTTATTGCTAGTGTATAATACAAATACGGAGTTGGTTTTGATTATAATATATAAAATTTTATGAAAATGAGTGTTTTATTTTGATACATCACATCACTATCAAAATCAAAACCATAGATAATTTTTGATTAATTATCTCAAAAAGTAATATTAAAATAAACTTGTATAAAAATCTTTCAATTTGAAACGTAAAATATATTTTTTTACTATTTTTCAAAAAAAATAAAATTTTGGATACAAAGTATATGGATTTATTTAATCATACATATCAAAATATGTACTGATAATGATCTTAAAACATTTGTAGAAACTAAGATATTTACATTCTCGATTTTTTTTTCAGATTTCTTGTCAAAATTTTGCATCAATTTTTAAATACGATTTAAAACTTTTGTAATCTAAGAAAATTATTTAGAAAATTCCTACAACTGAAATTTTTCAATCTTATGCTCATTTACAACATGAAATTATTATCTCTCTTCTTGCTTTGGATATTGTTCGAACAATAAATTTCTAATTATATAAAAATTAAAATGTATAATCAATTTTCTTCAAAGAACGATTCGTAAACTAAAATTTATAAAGTAACATGCATTCACAAAACAAGCAAAATTTTGCAAAAAACTTCAGTTTCAAAGTTTTAAAAAATAAATAAAAAATGTCATAATTAAAATTTTCAAGTAAAATAATAAATGTTGATTTTTTGAATTTAAAATCATATCCATAATCTTAATATGATCTATAGTGAAAATTGATTTATAATAAATTTTTACAAAGATTGAGACCAAAATTTTAACTTTGTTAAAAAATTAATCTTATTTTTAGCTATTTACGGTTGAAATGTGTCAATTAATAAAGTTTATTCCAATTAAAACATAATTTATGTTTAATTTTTTTTTAAGCTAAAATATTTAGATTGTTGAGATTAGTTTAGATTAAATAATATCATCCATAGCTACCAAAACCAGTGTTCCGCGTTCTTGACCTCCCTCTTTGCATCCATGATATTATACTCTTTAGAGTGACAGATTCCACATTCCCATACTACATAACTCCATAAATCGTTGATACCTCACCGCATTCTCATAGACATTTGATACGTTACCGCATTCTCAACGAGTGATGGATGGAAATCTCACATCTCAAATGCACACTTAGATAATACCAGAGTAAAGATGTGTACAGATCTGAGAAGGTCTATATCGTGATCCCAGATTCGAGCGATTATTTAGCAAACTTCTAACCATCTTCATCTGTATACTAGATCAATAACCGCAAATCCAACCCCAGAAACACTAGAATAACATAACCGTTTGGATCTGCCATATTCAGAGTAGGTTTCCTTCTTCAGATGGTGACTGCCAGAAGGATTTCTCCTTGTCACCTCATTACTGAGAACGTCCTCCTCTCACAGACTTGATGACAGCCGACGAGGTGGAGTTCACGGTTGGAGTGGGAGGTGTCCCGAGATCGATGACCTGGACTTTTCCGTTTGTCATGGTCGCCCAAATCGGGCTCCCTTCTGCAGTGTACATCACCACGTTGCCATCACACTGCATTATTATGTAGTGAGCCCCGTTGTTCATGTCCGCAGTCTTGGACTCAAACAAGGGTTTGTCATAGCCAGTGTAGAGTACTGCGTTTCCATTTGACTTCAGTCTGAACTCGCAGTCGCGGCCTAGACCACCGGTATCGGTCGCCCAGATTGGTTGCCCGTTCTTGTACAACACGAGGTTGCAGTCCTCTTGCATTTTGAACTGATATGGTCCCTCAGCAAGATATTGCCCAGAAAACATAGTGGAATGTTGCAGCAGCACGTTCGAAAAAGCTTCCACGTAGCTGGTGAGCATCAACGAGCAGGCGCATAGAAGCGAAATGTACGCAGCGGCGGACATGAGAGCCATTTTGTAGAGTACCCTGGATCCTGCAGACAAATCACGTACTTTAGAATCGGATTCTCTTCACCGAGCAGCCGCATAAGATCTGAAGTCAACCTTAATGAATAAGTACAAATCTATTATTCTTTTCTTCAGCTCTACCTTACTGTCACCACGTGGTTATCACAATAATTGTCGATTCGAGGAAATCACATGCTTACAACTCTACGTGACGAGGAACTCTGAGGAACACCTGTTGAGCTACTGCTCTAAGTGAGCTCGATGTCTCATCGTATTCAGAGTGAGTGATTGGATCTGGTTTGGAGCTCACCTGAATCCTGTCGAGGAAGCCTGTCAAAAGTAGCGAGCTCGTTTGTGAATTTAGCACGCAAGAGACGCTTGAATCAGCTTCTTATATACTCGGAGAAGCGAGGCAATTTGTTGACGGGTGGATATGACATTTTACCTTGGACTGACCAGCCCCACTCCTATGATTCTTCCGATAAAAGAATTGAGGGACACGTCGGAGAGTATCACTCCAGAGCGTTCGGCTTATCTACTACCCGACATGAGATGCGGACTGTCACCCTCTCCCTTCTGATATCCAATCGCCTGCAAACAGCGCTAAGTTCAGATAAGATTATCGATTCTTCATGCATTCCTGTACTCCACTTTAGAATTTGCGTGGTATGGTACCTCATCTGATGAACGGAGCAAGCATCACAACTCGAACAAAATGTGATCGAAAATACTCACGAAAGCGGATTATTTTGGACATGT